ATTTGGTCTTTAGTAATGTTTTGTAGTTTTGAGCACAAAAGCTTTTTATCTTGTTAAAAACATTATTACTAAGTGTTTTATTCTTTTTGGAGTTACAATAGCAGAATTGTTTTCTTAATTTCAACTTATATATGTTTATTGCTAGCAATAAAATTGTAATTGACTTTGCTGATCACTTGTTCTTAAGCTGCCAAATTGTTTTCTGCATTCATTATAGTTCCCTGAAATCTCATTTTTCAGATTCCTTTTAGTTGTAATTAAATTGCTAACTCTATTTTTGAGGACTTTTCTCTTTCCTTACCAGGTAAATATGAGTTACATCATCACTGAGCTATTTTCAGTATAATAAGCTTTCAAACTTAAGTAATTGTAAAATACAAATACAGTCTTTTTTTTAACTTTATGCTTTTCTATATAGTTTGTATCAGTTCACATCTCATTGCTGTGAGTGCTATCTCATTTAAATAGAGACCTAACTACTCCCTCCCCACCCTTGGTTTTTTTTTTTTTTTATTTTAAAATTGTTATTATAGCTGAGTGCCGGTGGTTCATGCCTATAGTAATCTTAGCTACTAAGTAGGCTGAGATCTGAGGATTAGCAGTTCAAAGTCAGTCCAGGCAAGAAAGTCCATGAGACTCTTATCTCCAATAAACCACCAGAAAACCGGAAGTGGCACTGTGGCTCAAATAGTAGAGCACTAGCCTTGAACTGAAGAGATGAGGGACAGTGCGTAGGCCCAAAGTTCAAGCCCCATGACTGACCTCCCCCCACAAAAAAAATACTGTAAAGGGGATATACTGAGGGGTTACATAAGTCAGGTAATGAGTACATTTCCTCTAAGAGTACTTTTGAATAACTTACAGAAAAGTCTTTTTTGCCTGAATCCCCCACGCTAACATGTGGGGATTATAATTCTGAGCTAGCTGGAATAGTACTCAATTTCAGGCTAAGATCCAGAATCAGTAATGGCTCTCCTGAACCTTACTGCTCACTCTGTATGTATGTGTGTGTGTATGTGAGCATGTACGTGTGCGCGTGTGTGCACATGCATACTGTTACTACAGCTTGAACTCAGGGCTTAGCTTTTTCTGCTGAAGGCTGCTGCTTTACCATCTGAGCTTCTTCACTTCTGAATTTTTGGTGGTTTATTGGAGATAAAGAGTCTCATGGATTTGTCTGCTCATCTGGATTTGAACCTTGATCCTCAAATCTGTCTCCTGAGTAGCTAGGATTGCAGGAGTGAGCCACTGACATCAAGACACTTAGTTACTTGCATTCATTAGCCACCTTGGGGTTACATATCCAATCACTAAAATTTTGACTGAGTCCTTGTGTGTAATCTACTGTTGAAACTGATCTGCCACTCCTGTAGTTGGATTCTCAGGCACTCTAGACTATTCACCTGGAAGGATTTCTTTGAGTCTAGCTTTCTCAACCTACATGACATCTTTTTCACCATGCAGTTAAAACTTTACAGTGTGTGGGAGCTTTTGTGGGGTCACACATTAATTATGTGGTACATGCAGTTAAAACATCTTGGCAGGTGCTGTTCAGTTCTGATCCTATCTACTCAGGAGGCTGAAATCTTAGGACCACAGTTTGAAACCACTGGAGCAGGAAAGTCTGTGAGATGTTTATCTCCAGTTAATCTTCAAAAAGCTGGAAGTGGAGCTGTGGCTCAAGTATAACAGCCTGAAGCATAAAAGCTAAAAGACAGCATTGAAGTCTTGAGTCCAAGCCCCAGTACTGGCAAGGCACAGCATGGCAGATACACACACACAAGCAGCACTAAACAAGCAACATCATTGCAATTTATTTATTTTTGATGGTCATAGGGCTTGAACTCAGGACCTAAGTGCTGTCCCTGAGACTTTTTGCTCAATGCTTGTGCTCTACCACTTTGAGCCATAATGCCACTTCTGGTTTTCTGGTGGTTAATTGGAGATGAGAGTCTCGCAGACTTCATGGGCTGCTTTGAATGATGATCTTCAGATCTCAGCCTCTTGAGTAGCTAGAAATTACAGGTGTGAGCCACCAGTGACTGGCCATCATTACTTTTTAAAACTTAAAAAAATACCTTCTATTATCTTCCTCCTCTTTGCCTTCAGTGACTTACTGCTAGTCTGACTTATTGCTTCTGAAAATATTTCCTGTAAAGGAAATGTGGTAAATTATTTGCTATTCATTGTTTTCTATTTCTGTAGAGTGCTTGACTTTTGTTTTAATAACATTAGTAAGAGAATATTCAGAATTCCATCAAGCTTGGTAAAATGATTTTTAAAGTGATTTACATGAATTAAAAAATTTTGTAGTGTTGGGATCCACCCTGGGGCCTCATACATGCTAGCATGTGCTGCTCAGTTGAGCAGTACACATGGCCCAATACATAACTTTTAACTGAGATAGTTCTATTAAGTCTTTTAAAATGGTCCTAGTATAGATGCTAATTTCTACTATTGCTCAGTGTTTTTAGAATGTTGATGTTATCATTCATTCTGACTTTTGAGCTAGAACAAATTTATAGATATATGTAAATGAAAATTCAAAGTAAGTTTAAATAGTATTCATTAGTGACGTTCATATTGAAAGATATTTGTGGTCATTTCTGTCTCTGGTTGGGTTGGACTAAAGAACGTTTAGTCCTTTTCAGCTTATACCTCAATGTTGTTAAAGAGAATAAAATTTGGGGGAGGAGTGTAGCTCTGTGGTAGAGCATTTGGCTAGATATGCAGGTTCTGGGCTCAAAAAAAATGACCAAAAAGGAAAGAGGGAGGAGGGGAGGAAAGGAGAGACGGTAAGAAGGAAGGAAGGAGGAAAAGAAGGAAGGAAGATTTTGATGTTTTTACTATTTGTAGCATGTGATGGTATTTTAAGCGCTGTAGAATACCTGTTAAAATTCAGTTAGCTAGCTGGCACTGGTGGCTCATGCCTGTAATCCTAGCTACTTAGGAGGCTGAGATCTAAGGATCATGGTTCAAAGCCAGCCCACGCAGGAAAGTCCGTGAGACTCTTATCTCCAATAAACTACTCAGAAAATTTGAAGTGGCGCAGTGGCTCAAGTGGTAGAGTGCTTGCCTTGAGCTGAAAGCTGAGGGACAGTGTTCAGGCCAGAGTTCAAGCCCCATGACAAAAAAAAAATAAAAAATATATAAATAAATAAAAATCAGTTATCTATGCCTTCAAGAACAACAATATATCAAACTTAATTTAAAAAGTATAATTTTGAGCCAGGCACTGGTAGCTCACATCTGTAATTCTAGCTACTCAGGAGGCTGAGCTCTGAGGATTGTGGTTTGGAGTCAGCCCTGGCAGGAAAATCTGTTAGACTCTTCACCCCAATAAATTACTCAGAAAATGCTAAAAATGGCACTGTGGCTCAAGTGGTAGAGTGCTAGCCTTGAGCACAAAGAAGCTCAGGGACTAAACTTAGGACTTGAGTTCAAGCTGCAGGACTGGCAAAAAATAAAAGTACAGCCAGGCGCTGGTGGCTCACGCCTGTAATCCTAGCTACTCAGGAGGCTGAGATCTGAGGATCCAGGAGAGACTGTGAGACTCCTATCTCCAATAAACCACCAGAAAACCGGAAGTGGCGCTGTAGCTCAAGTGGTAGAGCACTTGCCTTGAGCTGAAGAGCTGAGGGACAGCGCCCAGGCCCAGAGTTCAAGCCCCATGACCGACAAAAATAAATAAATAAATAAAAGTACAATATTGTGTGTGATATTTGATGGTACTGTACTAATAGTACCAGTACAGCAATGACTTCATTGATCTCTGTTGGTGAAATGTTATTAGACCTGCAAGTAAATGGTTCCTTTAATGCTGTATTTCTCTTTTGAGTAGTTCATTAAAAAGAACATTCAAAGAATCTTAAATTGCCTTGTTCTTTCTTTGAACTAAGTGAGGCTTTTAGATCAGTTTTTTTCAGGTTTGTTTTCAGTTCACAGTTTTGAAAGTTGGAAAGTAGGAAAGATCGGACAAAGCCCATTTGTTAGAATATGCAATTAAAAAAGAATTGTTAGTAGACTGTATTTGATTTTTTTAAATCTCTTTTTTTCTAGGGTAATAGAATAGAAACAGCTGTGTATATGCCACCCATTGCTGTCTCAAAGTTAAGATCTCTAGGCATGTCCAGATGTTCCAGGTTTGCCTGAGGGTTTGGCTTCTTTGTGAAGAACTAGCCCATCCCCTCTTTTTAGAGCAGACTCACTCTCTTTGAGTCCTCAGTGTGTTCACTATTCTTTTTTTGTGGTCAGTAGTGGGGCCTGAACTCTGGGCCTGAGCGCTGTCCCTCAGCTCTTCAGCTCAAGGCTAGAGCTCTACCACTTGAGCCATAGCACCACTTCCAGCTTTTTCTGCTTATGTGGTGCTGAGGACTCGAACCCAGGGCCTCATGCATGCAAGGCAAGTGCTCTACCACTGAGTCACCTTCCCAGCCCTCACTCTTCTTATGTCCACATAGTCTATTCCAGGTATAGTTTTAAGTTAAATAGAATTGTCTGTAAATGATATTGGTAATACTTTTTTTCCTCTAAAGAGATGATAAAATATAGTGTTAACTTGAGCCACAGCGCCACTTCTGGCTTTTTTTTCTTCTGCTTATGTGGTGCTGAGGAATCGAACCCAGGGCCTCAAGCATGCAAGGCAAGTGCTCTACCACTGATCCACCTTCCTAGCCCAAAGCTTCTTTTTTTTTGGAGGGGGGGGGTTCCGGTTGTGGGGCCTGAACTCTGGGCCTGGGCGCTGTCCCTCAGCTCTTCAGCTCAAGGCTAGCACTCTACCACTTGATGGCTGCCATTTTTAAATTGGAATTTTCTTCATTCAGGTCCAAATAACTTAGTTTTATAGTTGTAATTGAAATGAAAGTTTAATGTACAGCTTTAAAGTTGATTATTTTGAAGAAAATAGCAAATTAAAGTTTGACCTCTTTTAAATTCTACTTTAATAACTATATAGCCAATATGGTTTGTAATAATAAATTCTTTGAATTTTATTTGTGTAGAAGAAATTGAGGAAGAATCTGAAACAACAGTTGAGACTGACTTGACTGAAAAACAGAAACATCAGTTGAAACACAGGGAACTCTTTTTGTCACGCCAGTATGAATCTCTGCCTGCAACACATATCAGGTAAGAACTCTTTAGAAGTTAATATTGTGAACAAAACCAAAAGCATGCCCAACTCTTTTTTCCTTCTTTTTAATTTTTTGTTATTATAAAGGTGATGTACAGAGAAGAAAAGTCTACTTTTGACTAATGTTCCAAACTCTTCTTAGGATCTAACTCAACTTAGTTTCCTAATGGCTTCATACTATAATTTTGTCTTGACATTTGTAATATATATTCTCATACTAAAGCCCTGCAAGGATTCTGCAGTAACACATTATTTTCACTTTTATTCCTGACTCTTACAATTTGACTATCTTTAGCATCATGCCAAAACAATGTTCAGCTGACACTGTGTAAAATTATAAAGTCATGAGACTGCTGTGGCTGGAATCACATATCTGACTTATAGATATGTGACTTACATGATATGTGACTTTTTATTATCTGTAGCATATGTGGCTTTGCAGGGTATATGGCTTTTTATTTTCTTTTGAAGCTCTCTGGGATGAATATTATATATATGTATGTGTGTAGATATATATTCATATATATATAATTACTCATTTACTGGCATCTGCTCTGTTCAGTCAGTCACTCATTCATTCACTCTATTTTCACAGGGCTCGGGATTGAAACCAGAACTTTGCATATGCTAGACAAGTTCTGCCAACAAGCTATTTCCCCAGTCTTTCATTTTGCACAATGATTAGTTAAAAAAAAAAACAACAACAAAGCAAACAACCCACTAGTTTGAGGATTGAAGGATAGTGCTGGAACTGTGGTGGTCTTATGATACAGCAGTAGTGATCAATTTTAAGCATAGATACAGTAAGCGGTTATTCAGAGCAGTCTGTAATATTCAAGATATAATAAAATATTTGAACTCAAAAGATAAGTCCATTCTGACTTTCAGGATCAGGAAAACTTAAGAAGGATTTGATGTTTACTCAACTTTCAGAAGAGAGTACAGGACCTGTGTTAGATAGAGGGACCTGGTGAACGTGGTGTGTATTCAGTGAACACCAGAAGTCCAGGGTGATGAGTATGAGAAGGAATATAGTATCTTAGTTAAAACAGTTCCTTTAGTTCATAGTTTAAATTTCCTTTTTCAGCTCCCTTCTGGTCATGATGTTCATAAAAACAGTTTATGTGTAGAAGTACACTGTATTAGCTAGTTCAATAATTGCTTCCTTTTCTTTGTTCCCAGTGTTGTGGTTAAATTTAAATCTGTGTTTTTGGTTTGAGACAGGTTGGTGGCCTTACTGAAGCTCTAATTGGGTCTTCTTGGTACCTAAACACCAGCACCAACTCCAGAGACCTTTGTATATAATTTCACTTTTCAGAAATGACATACATGTCCTATAATAGAAAGTATAGGCAAAAGTACTGAAATACTCTTGTTTTCTCCAAATCTTTCCTCATAGTGAAAGTCCTATCCTTGATTTAGTTTAGTTTTATCTTAAGGAGGCACTCTGGTTAACTTGCAAACAGATTTTGGGATTTTGTGTGTGTGTGTGTGTGTACGCACGTGTGTGTATGTGTACATGCACATGTGCCAGTCCTGGGGCTTGAACTCAGGGCCTGGTCACTGTCCTTGAGCTTCTTTTGTTCGAGACTAGAACTCTGCCACTTAAGTCACAGTGCCATTTCTGGCCTTTTCTGTGTATGTGGTACTGAGGAATCAGACCCAGGACTTCATGCATGCTAGGCAAGCATTCTACCACCAAGCCACATTCCTGGTCTGAGAATTTTTTTTTAAGTGATAGGAAAATTTATCAGAAAAGTAAAAGAGGTAAGTGGCATAGACATGCTGTGGGAAGATGACACCTCAGATCATCTTCAACCATTTTCTTCTGTCAAGATTATTTTAAAGATGTGTGTGTGCACACACATGCTCATATGCAAAAGCCAGGTGCTGATGGCTCATGCCTGTAATTCTAGATACTCAGGAGGCTAAGATCTAAGGATCATGGTTCAAAGCCAGCCTGGGCAGGAAAATCTGTGAAACTTTGATTACCAATTAACCACCAAAAAGCTGGAAGTAGAGCTGTGGCTCCAGTGGTAAAGTGCTAGCACTGTGCACAAAAGTTCAGGGACATTACCCAGGCCCTGGGTTCGAGCCCTAGGACTGGTACGTACACACACACATGCACACTCACACACACCTCTCTCTCTCTCTCTTTCTTTCTTTTCTTCCTTGCTTCCTTCCTTCCTTCTTTCTTTCTTCCTTTCTCTGTGTGTGTGTGTGTGTATATATATAAAACTAGATATATTAGATATAGTGTATCTTTCTATTATATATGTATCTATATTTTAGGTATATCTATAATAAATATGGAATATATAATTATAGCTAATACATAATTTAGCAAAAATATATAATTTTATATAATTAGGTATAAATATAGATTTTATATCTAGTAAATATATGTGCTAAATATGTATTTGTCATATATAATAAATGCTAAAGAGCCCCATTCATTTATCATTTAATTGGAAGAAGGTAGGATATAAAGATTCTTTTTAGACTCAAATTGTTATGTGGCCAGTCCTAAGAATCTTAACAAAAACCTGACAAATAGTTTAAAAAACATACATAAAGGGTATATTTTTAATTACCCTTTCAATAGCATAGAATCTGTTTACTATAAATAATGTTGGTTTCCTTTCACAGATTGCCTGAAACAGAAAAACTAGTGATATAAATTTCATCTTTCATAAGGCCTGAGAGTATATTGAATTCTCCAGACAGCCTTGCATGGAGCATAGAATGTACTGAGTGTATGTGATCCTTCAATACATTTTCTATGCATTTTCCAGGTTAGAGAACTTGCTAAGTGGTTGATAAGTAAGATAGTAAATTTGAGGCTAGTAAATTTGAGGTGTGCTGGGCACAGGTGGCTCACGTCTGTAATCCTAGTTGCTCAGGAGGCTGAGATCTGAGGATCACGGTTCAAAGCCAGCCAAGGCAGGAAAGTCTGTGGGACTCTATCTCCAAAAAACCACCAGAAAACCAGAAGTGGTGCTGTGGCTCAAGTGGTAGAGCATTTGCCTTAAGCTGAAGAGTGGAGCTACAGCACCCAGGCCCAGTTTATACCCATAACTGACCAAAAAGGAAAAAAAATTGAAGTGTTTTCTGAGTTGGGTTATGATGAAGATACAGACATTATATGTTTTTACTTTTTTCCAGTTGAAAGGGAGTAGTATAGAGCTACACTTTCTCATCTGTGGCTATCATTTCAAACAGCTGAAGGAGGTTAGGGCAAGTCTCTGCCCAAGGCACAGAGCTGTGCTCACTATCCCACATGCTAGTGTAGAACAAGTGCATATTGGAGTGGTCTTGACATTTTGCTAATGTTGAAGTCATGTCCTATCTATTTCTGCTTTAAAAGTAGAAAATTACTGAAGTCCCATTGTTCTTTGGCAGCAAAGACGGGTAATGTGGTGAATGCTGACTTTTTATTCTCAGGGATGTTATCAAGTGCCCAAAATTTCCTTGGTACTATATGGAACATAAGAGCAAGTCTGACTGAGGCATTCTTCAGGTTCTTTATAATTTGTGAACTTTAATACTCACTCCGCTTGCTGTAAGCTTCCCAATGTGACAGAGAGACAACTTGTTCCTTCTGACTCCAGTGAGAGAAAAATCAAGACCTGAACATGTTCTACGTAGAGTTAGCGACTTATGAGACCAAATCTGAGCAGTGAAAATCCCTTTAGGGCATATTTAGAGTTGAGAGAGGAGGAGAGAAGCAACGTGCTTCACTCATGCCCAGTGACTTAGGTCATTTAATAATAGATGATGAGTATATATTATAAAGCACTATGAAAATCATTGTTAGGCCAACTGCTGCACCTATTATCAGTCTCTATTTTTTTTCTTTTCTCTTTTGCTCTTTTTTTTTTTAAATAAGGTGATGTACAGAGGAGTTTTATTTATATAAGTAAGGTAATAAGTACATTTCTTGTCAAACTCGTTACCCCTTCCCCTTATTTTTCTCTTACATACTCCCAGTCTATATTTTTTATAGTCAACCTTCTTTATATGCATATATGGCTAATTACTAACAGATTTTCTTACAGTAAGTATTCAGTGCTCTTTAAATTAGTGTCATATGATTCACAGATATACTTTCATCCTGTAATTAATCTACCTTTCATTCTGTAATTTATCTATAAGTAGACTGAAAATTTGAGGAAGGCTGCTCAGCTACTAACAAGTAGAGAAGGTTGATGTACTGTTTAATTCAGCTGTTGCCTTTTATTTCTAAAGATAGCCTTCCATTGTCTACTCTGTGAAACTGGGGTACTTTCTTCGTTCAATTTCATATATAGCTCAGGCTTATATATAGCTCATACATATTGAATTTGGCTTTTAAAAGTTGTAATATTTATTGAACTTTTAATGATACAGGTACTATTCTAGTTGTTTTACATGTATATAAATGATTTCAATAACTACTTAAAATGAGCTGTTATTGTCTCCATTTTACAGATGAGACTGAAGCACAAATGATTAAATAACTTGTAAAGTCTCTCATAAATTGCTTGCTCAGAAATTATATAGCTGTATATATAACTGCGCAGTTTCAGATATACTCTGTTGTTATGAGTATATAAGAAAACCTTAGATTCTTTTAAACAGTTGTCAGATTTGGCCCCAGAATACAGACATATAGCCATCATCTTAAAGATTCTATGTTGCTTCTACATTGTTTTCTCTCCTCTATAATGAGGAGTTGCTTTTCTTGTTCCTTCTTTCCTCCCTCCCTTCCTTCCTTCCTCCCGCCCTTTCTCTCTCCCTCCCTCCCCCTCTTTCTTTCTTTTTTTCTTTCTTTTTCTCTTTCTCTTTCTCTCTCTTTCTTTCTCTCTCTCTTTCTCTTTCTCTCTCTTTCTCTTTCTTTCTCTCTCTCTCTCTTTCTTTCTTTCTCGCTTATTAGGCCAGTGTTCTACCACTGAGTCTTGCACTGGTTATATATACATATATTTTTTTTGAGAAAAAGTCTTGTTTCCTGTTTGCC